GCCAGTACCAGCGGCCGGTGGTAGGACCAAGTCTCGCTGCACCCCGCACCCACGCACAGCACTGTCTGTGTGGAAGAAGTTAAATCGTGCTCCATTCGACAAAAAATCGCGAAATCATAGAGTGTTTTTTTTACAAATTACTTCTTCTCTGTCTATTATGGGCAAGGCTGAGGTAACAGTACCCTCTAATGCAGCATATATGAGCGCCTTGCGTTAGTCCTGCGCCCAGCTTCAAAGTGAGGCTTATCTACAGAGATAAGGATAAGATATAAATATATGAAAGTGATAATTAATCACTAATCAAATTTAAATAAATGACCACTCACAATTTGCCCACTGATATTGGCGAAGAAACCGTTCACCGATCTTCTCGCATTCAATTCGATTTGAGCAGCTTGTGTAGCGCGACGTAGCTTACTGGCGTCTGCTGGCACAAAGGTACCAAACAGACTTACAATAGCAGGACTAAAAACATCCATATCTTCGATTTTCAAAGTATGCCCGAGAATCCAGAAACCATAGAACATCAATAGCGCGCTTACCTTTTGCTCAATATCAATAAAGGCCGAGCAGCCGCGGCACTTTCGCAAGGTTGAGCTTGTTTTACCCAGCCGGATACCTCATAGGTGGTTGGGTAACAGGACATCGCATGTTCCAAAACAAACTGGAGCGGACGACTGGCACGCCGAATAAGCCTGAGAGACTTAGAGTTGGTTGAAAACACTCTGCATTCCCAAAAAAATTTTGAAAACCCAGGGTTTCAAACCGAAAACATTGATATTTCCCAAACTTGTTGTACTGCTCAAATCTGACTGATTTCTCGCATGTGTAGTATTTCTTTATAATTATTTCCCCATAATTACCTTGATTCATCACCCAGATGCACAAAAATCCTCTCTAATAAACTCTCATCGGTTGCACCAGGGAACATCGATTCTTCTTCAAGAATCGCCAGAAGACCTCGTTTTTCCTCAGAACGTCGTTCAATATCCGTGCACGCCAACTATAAACACAACTTCAGGTTTTAGAGTTCCTGACCAGCAGCATTACATTAGTAGCCAAGTACAAACCAGTTGTTGTTTCTGATCTAGAAGCCTATTTAGAGGAATAGGGGATACGATCGGCATCTCTACATCAACATCTATCTGCTCTCGGGAGTAGACCTTAAATGAGGATTTTTAGAGATAAAGATTTAGTAAAATAATTTTATTAACGGTTATCATAATTCTTCTGTCTACTACTAAAACCTATTAGATAATTCAACCTTGTAAG